TGGATTCAACTCGTGAAGGACCCCAACAGTTGGAGTGGAGGTAATCTAGTATCCCCTTCGTCTGGTGGATACCCTTCTTGGGAAACTTGCTGCGATGTAGCTTCCCAAACACACAATGCTCGCAGAATTCCAAATTATGCACCTTGTGCCCGCAAAGAAGATCCCTCTTCAATAGAACTTGCATCCCTCGTTCACTCATATGCCCCAGTCTCATGTGTCAGAGAGTGGTCATATCTTCCTGATGAACCTAAGACGATGCAACTGCAGCAGAACCAGACAACACAGACCCTTGTAATGCATACAAGATCCCACGCGTCACGCCCTTCAACACCTTCCTTGAACCTTTGCAGACATACACAACTCCACCTTTTCCTTTGAAGCTGAAACCCTTGCTGTCGAGTAGACTCAAGGAGATCAGGTTCTTTGTCATTTGTGGAACATGCCTGACATCATTCACGGTACAGAACGAACCATCATGTGTCCGAACCTTTATGGACCCGATTCCAACAACCTTCCAGACAGCTCCATTTGCCATGACCACGTTACCACCATCTATCTGCTCGTAGGTTGTGAAGCAATCCTGTTCGGAGACATATGGTATGAGGCTGCAGTATCCAGAATCCACACATCCCCACGATGTGCCTTATCATCTACAGCAAAGGCGAGATCGTCTTCAGAACTGTTGTTCACTTCTGCCACGACAACTGAACCTTGTTTTTTCTGTTTCCCTCTTCTCTTGGGACAATTGTACTTCCAATGCCTCACTTTCTTACAGTTGTGACAAGCATCACCTGGCTGTGGACCGGGACCCTTGGAATTCTTATTCGAATTCCCTTTATCAGATTTCTTCTTTCCCTTTCCACCTGTAACAGCCAAACCTGATGCCTCACCACCTGTACCAGATCCGGACGCCTTATGTCTGATCTCTCTCGTATGAAGAGCAGACCTGACATCCTCTAACGACACGCTTTCTTTACCAGCAATAAAAGAATCAACGAAATTCTCATATGAACTCGGCAAAGAAAACAGCAGGATTAGGGCAGCATCCTCGTCATCAACTTGAACATCTATATTACGCAGATCCAGCAAAATAGAGTTAAGCTGTTCGAGATGTTCCCTCAAAGGCGTACCTTCTTGCATCCTCAAGCTAAACAACCGTTGCTTGAGATGCAGCTTGTTGGTTAAGGACTTCGTCATATACAGACTCTCCAACTTTAACCACAAGCCCGCGGCAGTTTTCTCAGCAGCGACTTCTATGATGACGTCATCAGACAATGATAGCATGATGGTCGAGTGGGCCTTCTCCTCCAGGGTATTCCACTCATCGTCATCGACCGCTGCCTTCTTCTGTTTCGCAGACAGCGGCCCCCAAAGCCCTTGCTGTTTTAATAAAGCCTGCATCTTGATCTGCCATATAGCGAAACTGTTCTTCCCCGTGAACTTTTCGATATTCATGTTCACCGATGTCATTCTTCTGAATCGAAAACCCTAGTCTGATTTCCAGCCGCGTCTCTGATACCACTTGTTATAAACGCGCTGCTACGGATCGGGAAATTGCAGGAATCGATAAAGCAAGAATACGAGAGCGAGAATCGAAAACACAGACACACGATTTACGTGGTTCACTAACACGATGTGTGTTAGCTAGTCCACAGGCGAGAGAGAGCCAGTTTTACTATATCGAGGAGATTACAGATTACAGAGGAGTATGAGAAGTATTTATAGTACTTCTCCATGTGGGTCTAAACCTAATCCAATCTGGCAAAGGAAACGGTTACAGACCAGGCCCAGAACCCGAACCCAAATAACATTGAGCCCATACACCGTGGGCCGTTTCCCTTGGACCCACTCGTTGACCGGGCAGCGAGACCCCCGATTACCAGTCGTAGCGGCTGATAGTCCGATTCAAGTCACATCAACAAAGATCATGTAAGTGCATTCTGTTTTGCTAATAATTTGCATTTCAGTAATTGTGGCTATAATTTCCCGCTGCTTAATAGTTTTGGCTAATATATTGTATTTATCCTAATTTTTATGCCACTCATCCATATTTGATCAATGTCATTGAATGTATTGGTGTGGTGATCATGGTGGTTTAATCATTATCATATCGTGATTAAAGCCGCGTTGATTCCATAATTGATACATGAGGTGGACCAGATTGTTTTAAGAGATGTCTAAGTATTTATAGCATACGGTTGCGTGCCTAAAGAATTTTGTGATATAATTGTTTCAAGGAAAATATGCAGGCCGAGAGGGAGATTGTTAGGAAATTTTATTTCCTATAATGATATGGGCTACATATTTTGCAATTATATGAGCTATTTGGTTATGTAGACTAATTAAAAGTGATTCAAATCAGTAGCCCAAAGATGTCTTGTTTTGATATGGAACTAAATGGGTGGAAATCCAATACTAACTCACCTTGGCTTTTATGGGAGCCCATGGTGACCACTATATAAGGAATCATTTAGAGGTTGTGGTCTCCACTACACCAATACCAAATTGCTCTCTTATTCTCTCCATTGGGAAGATCAGAGGTAATCCTGTGAGATGAACTAAGGAGGCTTGGTTGAGGAAGGCTACAAAACCTCCCGGGTCATGCTGCTGCAAGTATCAGCCGATCTTAGATCATCCATCGCTTTCCGCATCAAAGATCGAGATGATATACGAAATGAATCCAGGTATTTCGATCAACTTTTGATATCTGACAAGATGAATTTCCAGAGACTTACATAGGCTAAAAGTAATTCTAACAAAAATAGCGACTGAGAGGGGGAGCTTGTCGTCATGGACGTGTGGTTCGCTGGCAGCGGATGAGTCGTCGATGGATTGATGGTTGGTGCCTCAGAGGAGGTGAAACCGAAGAAGCTTGAGAGAGGCAGATCGAGAGTTCTAGATGGTTAGAAATAACAAACTCTCCTTCCTAGATGCCACTGCTTTTGGATTCAACTGGACCAGCTGGGCGTCCGGGTCTCGATTATACCGGTCCTACTGGCCGGTCCGTGTCGGTCTTGACCAAGGTTGTCAAACCGGTTTATGCCAATGTGCCGGTTTAGCAAGTGGAATGGTTCAACCGGTGGCACATACTGGTTTGTGCCGGTTCATGCCGGTCAATATTACAAATAAAATTATAAATACTCATATTTAAACATGACATTTAACGTCAATACCTAAACATTTATATTTGAATCCAACAAATAACATCAATATTTAACTTTTATACTCATAAAATAAATAATAAAATAATTTTTATCAATTAAATTCTCTAAAATAAGATAATTTTACTTAGAGATTCGTATATCGATCATGTCGGTCATACCGGTAGTGTCACGCCGGTTTTATGACCGGTACCGGTTGAACCCGGTACAACCGGTGGCACGCCGACCGGCATGACAACCATGGTCTTGACAAAACTAATTACCATCCACTATGAAAAAATCTTAAACAAAACCCGCATTACCTACTATGGGTTTCTTTTTATAAAAAAAAACCCTACTATGGGTAGCAGCTTCGAGCACCGGAAAGTGCAACAACTTTGAGCGCCAACAACACTCTTCTGTCTTTACTCTTCAAAATGGATTTGATTCAATTGAGCTCTAGATGAAACGAACCCAATGAAATTGTACAGAAAGCAAAATACTTTAGTTTTCTGTTTGGGTTTCTGCCATTTCTTAGGCCTTAGAGTGTCGGGCTCCCATCCGAAAATAATTGGGTCTGCTTCACAGAGTGTTGAGTATTTGGCTGTCATTTGGGTCGAGCTTAGTTTAGACCATAGAGAGTGGTATTCTTTATTGGGTTGGTTAGCTTATGCAATTATTTAAACGGTTAAGTCTACAGATTTCTCTGATTCGATACTGTTTGTGGTTAACCGCAAAGAATGTCATGTTACAAACCGTGCCCATTTAAGGAGTCTCTTATACGATTTTTGATTAACCACTAACCATATGGCTAAAGTTCGATTACGGTTAACCCAAAAATCATAAATTATATTGACAACCTTATGTAAAACAACTGCTGAAAGAGACCCACAAAGAAAGTGAAGTAATTTTCAAACTTGGCCTCGACACTTCTTTAGGAACACAGAATCCACAACTAAATGTAAGTAACTGAGCAACGGAGCAGATTCATATGAGCCTGAAATGCAACCAATTGATAAAGCCGGATTGAAAAAATAAATAAGAATCTAAAGAGTCTCAGATATCCCAAGAAGGAAGAGAGTTGCGGTGGAGAAGGTGTCATCATCGATGTGGGCAAGGAGAGTTCAGGAGATGGCGGTGGTATGGGGGACCATGCAGGAAGTAATGAGTAAAATGAAAAGGTGAATACACGAGTTGTGATATTACAGTCTTTTACATACCCCTTTACATGTTCCAAGCTTCTTCCAATCCATTCCTACGATTAAAAGCAACATTTGAAAAACTCTATCATACCGGTCAGTCGGATCGGAAATACCATATACTGAACATAAAATAGTAGGCAATTTTAGCAGTAGAAAACGATTGAATCACGATTAAACTACCCAATAATGGTCGGGGACGCAGAGGCACAAGAGATAAAAAAAAAAGTTCCCTCGTCTCGGCACCATCAGATCAATTCAGCTGCCAATCATCATCACATCACATGGCCCTCCCCAATTCTGTTCTTTTATCTCCCGACAACCGTATCTCTTGCTCACGACTGCCCGCCAATCCACAGTTTTTGGCTTTCATTTCCCCCATTAATTATTCATAATTCTTTTACAAGCAAAGCAAAGCAAGACCAACAAGTCTCATAATAGCAGTCATTTGGTGGGTTGGGTTTTCCAAAGCATTTTAAGCAAAGCAACCACACACACACTATACAATAAGGGATGATCCTTATGCATTGCAAAACTGTTCACTTCTTATTGTAAAAAAAGCATGGATTACGAAACCGTACCGGACATCAAACCGGAATCGTTTTTGGCATGGTAAATCGTGGTACAACCATTTCCTACCGGCAAATACCGTTTTTGGAATAAAAAAATTATTTTTTTGTTAAAAAACCGTACCGACAAAATTAGGGTACCATAGCGGGAAAATACCGGAATAAAACCGGATTATACCGCCTAAAAAACTGTAAAAAAGTAAATAAGCTTAGGTAACATTCAACAAAGTGCGAGATTTCAATACCTAATAAACCTCATAATCATCCAAATACATTTTTAGAAACTAGTACAAAAACCACAAGCTTAATGTTGGCATACTTGAAAACCGGATTAAGGAAGTATGATGCCACAAACAAATCACGGCTCAAATGTTTATCCCACCTCTTATTAATGAAATGACTTGGATCCACAGTCTCTAGTCCCTGGATGATTCAATAACCCCCTCAATCACGGGTGAAACCAACTGAACTAACAGCAGGCAGCTTTTGCAGCAAAAAAACCCCGAAAACAACATGGATGAAATCAAGACTGAGTGTTGCAGACAAAGAATGTCAATGGAGTGAAGATTGTGAATTAGCAGCAAAGTTGGAAGGACTAACATGTTCCCTAGCGAAAGCTTCAGCACCTTGGAACCCAAGATAAATGTGAGGAGTCTTGTCCATGACTAGCCTCGCCACCGATACGGCGTTGACAAGAGTGGTTAGCCCAGAGACAGCTCCGCACCTCATAGTTTTGCCGTCCATGATGCAGGCTTCCATCTCAACTATCCCGTCAGTGGTCAACACCGATCCCTTTCCAGCATTGAACTGCGGGTGGTTCTCTAATTCGCGAACCTGCAAAGTAACAGCCATGGAGCCACTAGCAACCTCTAACATCCGATGATACAAGATTCTAATTTTATATAAATCCGCCCATTCAAGCCAATTACTACTCGATTCAATTTCCGATGGCCAGAGGATATCCGGGAAGTGATTTGGGCGGGCGTACCACGAGTTCGACGACGTCGAGAGGGTGGGCGTGGGATTGGAGAGCGGAGACGCCGAGTTGGAGGCAGTGGCGGAGAGCGGCCTCGCGAGGGAGGCGGCGGTCAGGGGAAAGTGAGCGATTGCCCATCCCATGTTCTCCACGCCGGCTGCTTCTGTTCCTCTGTCTTCGGTTGGGTTGGGTTAGAGCGATTGCCCATCCCATGTTGCCGGGGAGGACGAGTCGCCGATGCCGGGGAGGACAAGGCGCCGTCGCCGGTGGTGAGAAAGGCAGAGCGGCGCGGGGGGAGACGAGAGGATGGAAAGGAATTTGGATGGAAAGGCAGAGCGGCGCGGGGGAGACGAGAGGAGAGTGTGGAGAGGAGAGTAGGGTTTCGACTTTCGCTGCTTCTCTTCCTTTTTTTACTTGGTCAAAACGGCGCCATTTCAGCTAATTAAAGGGACCGCCGGTTTTAATAAAACCGGCCGAAATTTCGGCCGGTTGCGGTCCAACCGTAAAAACCGGCCGGCAGCCTCTTGGATGATACACAGGCCATGTTGTGCCGAGCCAGGTCCGGTTTCCGGTTTTTCCGGTCCGACCGGCCGGTCCGGTATCCTGGTCCCTGAAAAAAAGAAGAAGAAAAAAACCCTGTTTACTTCATTCATTCATCAAACTCTTTTTTTTTTCTTTGTTTATTTTAGAAAAACACACATAGAATAAAATTGCGCTCTCACAAATACAATTTTTAAGTTGTGCATTGGAGTTTTCTTTTTCAATTGACAAGGAGACAGCAAGCAAGGCTTCTTGACAGCAAAAGCACAGCACAGCACAACTACAACAGACAACACCATAACACCCACTTCTCTTTCTTTCCTCTTAATTCAACTTAACAAACAAAACGGAGTTAAAATACATATTAAAAACGCCCAACTACTAACGCAACATAAAAAGCCATTACCCGCAGCAATCCATCCAATCCCAACACCTTCTTTCTTCCTGCTTCCCTGGCAACTGCTGCTGGCTATTTCTTGTTCCTGCACTTCTCTACCGCCCGTGGGGCTGCAAACAAATCAAAGTACGGCAACTTCTGTTATAATGAAGTATTGAAGTTCCACTACAAATACTAATCGTCATTCATGACATGATAACCCCACTGGTTTCAACATTTGCAGACATTATACACGACTCGAATAACTCTAGTAGCATTTCACATGTGTTCCTTCCTCGGTGCCTAGTCAAACATCAGGAACTCATTATCGAATATAATGCTCGTGTGCGAATTCTGAGTTCTTGCATACTCAGGATCTCGGCATAAACTGAGCTTCACATGAATGATTCAAGTGGTCATGCTATTGGAAATCAGGATGCATCTCAGATGCAAGGGCCATAAAAGAGGACAATTTTGCATAAACAGACCAACATTTTCCCCAGTCCTGATGGCCAAACCCTCTACCTGTTGTCTGGCCAAGACAAGATCCAAATCAAATGACTCGTTAACAGAATTACTACATGCATGTTAATAGAGTTCCAACATAACTTAGCAAACCTAAAGCAGAACCATGGCGTTTAACCAAATATTGCAGACATAATAATGTACCAAATAGATGGGAATGCTCATAAAAAATAGAGGACGGGCAAATCCAGAGACACTTGCAATGGATCAAGCAGGCTATTGAGGTTTTCAAAGACATTCTGCATGGATTGGCAAATAACAGCCAACTCAATCATTCTGCAAGCCAACCTTTGATTCTAGAACACAATTTTCTTACTACACTTCTGTCTTCTCTATGGCACACTCAATCTTTCAGCAAAACACAAGTAGATGCCATGGTACTGATATCTAAGAGGACTACTCATTCTTAAAAGGATGGCATCGTTCACTGCTATCCTATGCCTCTGATGCATCAGTAAAACATGTGGTACTGGACTACTGGTGTCTAAAGGACTCAAAATTCTTAAGAGAATAGCTTTAGTCACTGCTATCCTTCGACAGTTCAGATTGCTATATATTGAATTAAAAAATAAATTTTAATGACACAACGCACCTAAACCAATGGCGTCAGAACCCTTCATGATCCTCATCCTCTTGCAGGTGTCAGTAAACATCCTAAACATTAAAGAATCATTAATTAGAAAGCTTAAAACTGTCAAATATCTGGTTCCCATAATAATATATTGGACATGACATGAAGAAAGAAAGAGGACTCGGTTGGGATAAGAACAGTGAGTGCTCAAAGTTGCAAAGTCAGAATATATGTAATAAAGCAAATATATGATGGTACAAACTTAACAGATACAACGTCGAGAATTACTTATTTGTTCCAGCACTCTGTACGTTCTCATCACCAAATAGAAGCACATGACTCACTGAAACAAAAACTGAATATCTAAAAAAAAGTGAAGCAAGTAGCTATTGGTTGACACTGAGTGTTGCTGTGGAAATCAGGACAGTGGAAGTGTTGATTCAGGAATCTGTAACAGTCTAAGTAGGGATTATGGAGGACAGTTTTACTGAAATCGATGGATACCCACCCCAGCTTGACCTCGTAGGGTACCCAAATTGGCTAGGGTAATACACAAAACCACCAAGTTTGGGTTGGCTGAATATTACCCATGGGTTCCGGTATTTCACTTGACCCCTTTCACTCGTTCCTCTGCTAACAATCCTTGCCACACTTGCTTAAGTCATCTAATCACTAATCAGAATAATTGAATCCAACAAAACCTAGAAGCCATTCATGCATAGATAATGACCCACACTATATTTTTGCTGCTAGCAGTTTAGCAAAAAGTTTTTAAGTGTCGTTCATACTACAAGTGGAAGTAGAATTGTAAGGCATAGTTATCACTGGAAGCGAAATGAGTGTAACATCTATATCACAGATGTTCTCATCATTTAAATACTTATGTTTCTAATAGAAAGAGTCACCGATTCAGTGCTTTAGATGATTAGGTATTTCAATACCACACATCTCGTAGAAAGATGAACATTTAGATACTATTAACAGGATGAAGTATCCAATAATATTTGTTCATTCAACCAAACTAAGTTCAAGTATTTAATGCGGATTAACACTTACTCCCATGGAACATCACCGACAAGCATCCAGTCTCCATCTTTATCCTCGTAGGTGAGAACATATTCTGAACCATGGAGAAGATCCTTCAACTTGCTTTCAGTCAGCATCTCCCTTCCTGAAGTTCCATGGGATCCGCATTGACCTGTTATGAAAACAGATACAGCAGAAGAAATTTGAACATCCAAAACCATAACAAATTCTTCTGAAGCAGAACTTATCAGTCCTGAAACTAAAAGTGTCGCACATCCAATTTGAACTATGATTTAGCCCACCTATGGTAAAACAGCTGAACATCTTCTCAAGAGCCGAAGAGAGTTCCTTATATGCAGAGTAGTTCCTCAGGTCAACTTTTCTCAGATATGGAGCACCATCCATGCTGACTTTGACATACAGAGCACTAGCACCCACCTTTCCATCTACTTCGTCAGTATTCTTGGACAAGGTAGCAAGTGAATTCTTCCTAAACGACCTGATGGGTGGCCAACCCACAACTTGTGCCCTGCCAGATAATAAGTATAAGTCACACTAGTTCCATGCCCAAGCTTATCATAATCAAGACAGAAGATTACTTAGTAGCAGGTGCACTGCTATTGTTTGCAGAGCCCCTGTTGTTGTTCGAGACATGGGGCCTTTCCTGAGCAGGCTTCTGCCCTACTGCTTCATTCGTCTTTGCTGTTTGAGAAGTCAGGTTCTCGAGGATGGAACCCGGTTTCAGCCCCAAGTTCTGAGATGGCCTCGGAGTTAACATCTCATTTACCTTCGATTCAGAAGAAAATTTATCCTGAACCCATAAAAAAGAAGCAGTAGAATGAAATCAAACCCCATTTTTGAAATAACAAAAGAGTGCAGGATCTGATCCAGTGAAAAGCAGTTGATTTTTCACCTCTGAGAAGCCATCCATGGCATCAGAGAACCCTCTTTTATTCCCCAAAAGTAAAGTCTTGGGCGTGGAAGATCCATGATGATCGTTCACTGGATGCATGGGGAAGAGGGGCTTCTCATCAAGCTGAGTAGAGGCAAATAAGGAAAGATCTGAGTTCCTTTCCGGCGACTGAGATCCTGGTAATCCAAGCCGAAGCTCTGTCGCCTTAAGATTCAGACTAGTCTTGCTCTCACCAGTGACGGCAGAGATTGCGGAGCTATCCCCAGATGAGGATGAATCAGACAATCCCATGTAGTTGCGCTCTTTGAGCTCAGCAGACCCATTTTGACATACGCTTTCTATGGAGGTTGAAGAAGCCAGTAGCGAAGCACTGCTGGCAACCTCCTCTACACCACCGAGCAGTGGCGGAGTCATCAGAATTTAGCAATTAAAAAAGCTCAGAATTCCCCCGCGCTTAATTTACCTGCAAGAGACCAGCAGAAAGTTAAAATTCAACCAACGATGACGCTTCTTCCACCAAAGGGGGTTTCATACTAATGTTAGACGAGCACTAAATCACAGTGTGTAACTAGGCACAGGAGATGATAGATCTAAGAACAAAGTTTCAGGTTAATCATCAATATTCTGACTTAAATAAAAGATATCGACCCAGAACGAGAGAAAAAGAGACACAAGAAAGAAAAAAAAAAAAAAAAGACGGCAGAAAAAATAAGAGCAGAAGCAAACAATATGATGCATGCTCCGTTTGGCAGGCAAGAAAATGCAGGAAAATTTCGTGCAAGCAAGAACAAATACCGACTTCGCGATAATAAATAAATAAAAATTGGAAAAAAAGGGAAAATCAACTTCGCTCTCTCACTTATCCAGCTCGTGAAAATTCGTTCTTCTTTTACTGTTGACTGAAACCAAAACCAGCACATTACAGAAAATTTGAAACTCTCCTCTCGTTTTTGCCTCTATTTTCTCGGGAAACAAACAGAAAGAAAGAGAGCTAGGGAACACAGCACACCATCCAGCCAAGCGAAAAGCCAAATCGGGAATCCGAAAGAGGAAAAGCTACCGGAAGGAAGCGGAATCTCCCGGGAAAGCTAGGTTGAAAACTGCAAAAGTAGCTAGCGGCTCTCTTACCTTAAAGATTGACCGGAATCGTCGATCGATTACCAAGACTTGTTTCCCGGAGAAGAGACCGGAGAGAGAGAGACGGAGACGGAGACTCGGATAGGGAAAGAGAGAGAGAGGGGAGAGGAAAAACTGGGGAAAAGAGGACTAAGGATCCTCCATTTGTCACAAAGCAACAAAAGATTAATTGCTGTCTGATGTGAAGCTCTCTATGCATAAAAAAGAAATTTACTTTTTTTTTTTAATCAACATTTTTCAACTTTTCTTTTTAATCGGGGCTTAAAAAACACTCTTGCTTTTTCTTCCTCAGCTTTTTCTCGCGTTTCGGTTTTCTTTTATGATTTACTCCGCCGAACAATGATTATTAATAAGTTATTATTATTATTATGAAAATGGTACGGAGAGGTATGATTGGGTGGAAGGGTTTTGAGGGGTGGTTGAATCTTGTCCGTTGATCTTTTTTTAATCAACGACGGTGGATTTCGGTAACACCATCATAGCGTCGCTCTCGAGAGTGTCTCTCATCTTTAATCGAAAGGCCTGCGTGGTCTGCTAATTTAATTACCTCCTAAAATAATTTCCAATAATTCTTTCTGCCTTGAGTTGCAGTTAACTACTTTTTTGATAAAAGTATTGGTAGCTCACTCCCGAATAAAAGAAGTATTGCCATTTTGGTCCCTACTTTCCAATAATCTGATATGCACGCTCCAATTTAGAAAAAAAATAAACGAATGCTAACTTTTCACCTCCCATTCTTTCCATTCTCCATAGTTGTTTGTTATGGAGAATGATTGCGAAACCGTATAAGAAGTTATATAAAAAAGAGTTGGTAGTAGAATATTGTGTAGCAAAATTATGGTTGAATCGTGATTCGACCGTTTCGTACCAAAAATTGCAAAAATGTACTGTACTGGCGATTCAAACAGAAAAACCTCTTATCGAAAAGCGAAACCAGTAGGTTGTATTTAGCGATATGAAACGGTTTAACTACTGTTTTAGCATTAAATATCGTTGACTTCTCCGGTACAGCTTCCAGTACTATTTTTCAATCATTGTTTTGTACAGCTAAAACCTCCTACCTTTTGGGGTATTGTATTCCGTTATTTCTGTTCGGGCCGACCGGTATGATAGGTTTCTTAAGTTATGTGGTATAGATCAGACGTTAACCCCGGTTCCATCCAACTAATAATTTTTGTCAGAAATGTTATAATATGTCCGTCCCAGAAATAACATCCTTTGCACGGTTTAGATTTTCTAATATTATTCTGACTAAATGGTTCCCGTAAAATACTTATCAAATGAGTATTTCGCTCCATCAAGTAGCTGTTTTACTTTCTTTCCATTCCTAAATTACGTAAGAACTACTAAAGTGTTACAAATAAAATTGGATGAGCTGAATGTGAATAGAAATGGAATTGGTGGACTAATTAGCGATTAGTGAAAATAAATAAAAAAGGACACAAAGCAATGGGGGAACCAAGCGACAAGCCGACAAGGCGACAACATCATTGCTAATGAAATGCTGCAACACACATACGCACCAAGTTACGTGTCGTTTTGAATTAGCCTTTCACCCATCCATCCATAATCCCACCCAACCCAAACCTCATCTTCTTCCCTAAACCGATATTCTACTCTTTCTCTTTTCTTTCTATTCATGCATAGTGCTGCTAACTTTTTCTATATAGATATACATAAATTATAATGCATCACCTTAAAATTTGCGTGGTTTGGATAAAGAAATATTGAGAGATGGCGTAATGCTTAAATGGATGTAATTAAACCAACAAATTCATTAAAAACTATTATTTTGATAAATAATTTCACAGAAATAAAAGTTATGGGTTTTTTATTTAGTTAAATATAATTAATCAGTCAAATATTTTAATTTTGATGAAATATTAGTCAAATTTATTTAAAAAATGATAGATAAATCTTTCATAACATTGAAAAAATTTAGTCATTGATTTATTGTTGTTAGTGGCATTCCACATAAGCTACCAAGTCAGATTCTAATGTAATTCGTTGATTTTTAAGTAAATATAATTTATTAACCAAACTTTTGATAATATAAAATAATACAGCTAACCGTTAAATTCCCGTTAATAGTTCCATTATATCATGTAGAGCTTGAAAACATTGTGAACGGGCAAATGTGGTGGTAAGTTGGAAGTATTTTAGTGGCGTGGCAGCAAAAAAAAAAAAACAAAATCAGTCAACCTTTTGTTATTTTTGTTATCAATTTAATTTTAAATAAAAAAAACAACCTCAAAAATTGTATTTAAATCCACCGCACAACCATGCGCAAAAAAACTAACAAAAAACAACAAGACAACCCTATTGCTAGGCGCATTGACGGAGTGTTAGTGAATAACGTTTGCTTTGATGTCTACAAGTCTAGCTCAACTAAAACGATCAGCCTTGGTGTTTCGGATCCTTGGAGGATCTTACTTAATAATGGTCATGTGTTGAAAAGTCACCCTAAAGTCCTAAACCCTTCAGGTACTTCAAGTTTCAGAGATCTCATCCTCGGTATCATAGTCTGGTTCATACAGTCTAGACTAGTCATTCATCTATCTCTAACCCTTTCAGCAGTATTGAAAATAGACTGAGAAGACTTAAGAAAGGTTTCAAATCCCTAAATCGCGATCAATATTCATATATATATATATATATATATATAAAGGCTAGAGAAGCTAAGGCTCTACTTCTAGCCGAAGGTTAGTCTAAGGTACTAGAGAATTCCTCTATGGTCAATATTGAAGATGAAAAAGCAAAAGTAGCGACATCTATCTTGGTGCAAGCTCTCAAAGGAAGCTTCTCTCGTAAGAAGTTCAGGTTTCGGTGGATAGTTGGGTGACTCAGAATACTAAGCATTCATTAGAATAGGAACCTCATGTTATACTCATCTAATCTCATAAATCATTGAAGCACATATGGATTGGAAATATTAAAGTTCATAAATATAGAGATTAGACAAACCATTTAATCCTAGTTAAGTATGTATTGGCGATATATGGCCTTCTCTGATTGCGATGAGCTCTTCTCTGATTGCGATGCCGGCGGACAGCTCGATCCCTTCGGGGCGCCCGCCGGACAACTGCCAACTTTTTACAGAGGTCACAACGTCGACAGGGGCAGGGGATAATCCTCCGAAGGCATCCACAGGGGACCTGCTCGCTGGGATGCAGGTTGACAAGCCGCCGGCGCCAACAAATCTGGGGCTTTCGCCGACGGGAGATACGATCGAGGTACACGCTGCTGACACCATTGGTGACCAGACTCCCACCTCGCCTTCAAAGCGGATCGTCTCCTATGCTGGTATTGTGGCAGGGGAGGGGAGTATGTCGAAAGGCCCTATGTCACAGTGGATTCCTGTTGGTGAACACGATCTCATTCCAGGATCGTTCCAAGGAGAGCCTGAGCTGCGGTTATCTGACAGCTTCAAGACGAAGCTTAGTGCCCCCTGGCAGCGAACCTTGGTGGTGCGGTTGCTGGGAAGGAATATTGGCTATACAACGCTCTGCAATAGAATCAGGGCCCTTTGGCGCCCATCTGGTAGCATGGAGGTATTAGCTTTGGATGAGGATTGTTTCCTTGTGAAGCTCGGAAATGACCAAGATTATTTCAAAGCGTTGACGGAAGGACCCTGGGTGATCTTTGATCACTATCTCCTCGTCAGCCAATGGACGCCCGGATTCAGGATCACAGAAAGCCTCCCAAGCACAATGGTTGTTTGGATTCAGTTACCAGGGCTTCCAGTCCATTTTTACCACAAGGAGATACTATTCACCATTGGCAATCTGATTGGTCGAGCTATTAAACTTGATTTCCATACTTTACACCAACAGAGAGCTAAGTTTGCTAGGATAGCTGTGGAGGTCGACCTCTCCAAGCCCCTAATCCCAAGGATTCGGCTGGATGATCAGTGGCAAAAAATAGAGTACGAAAACTTGCCGGTCGTTTGCTTCGAGTGCGGCAAGATTGGCCATACGAGACCCTGCTGCCCTTTGGTGACTCGGATGGATCCTGCTAACATCTCGGCCGGAATACGACCGTCGCCGGAGAATCTCGCAACAGAAGCTCCGACGGACGACGTCGGCGGCTTTGGACCGTGGATGCTTGTTACGAGGAAATCTCGGCGGAGTCCAAGGGAGAATCCCAATCATGGCAAGGCGGAACAGGGAAAGCGAGAGAATCAGGGGTCAGCAAGGAAAGAGGAAAGAAAAGAAGGAAATCTCTCCAAGAATCAAGGAGTTACATCCTATGGCCAACTTCCCCTAAATAATCAACAACGGCCAGCAGAACAACGTTCTCTAGCGGGGGACAAGGCAAAATCTGGGATAGGAGGCAACGGGAAAGTGGACAGCAAAGGGAAAGGAAAGATTGGAGAGCCCACTCAGGTCTCTGGGAAGGGGGTTTTGGGCCCGCGACCGCAGTCCACTAAAACGAGTGTGGGTACTAAGCCCGACGTGATGGATAGCTCCATGGAAGCAGGCCCCTCCGCCGCTTTTAAAGACAATGGGCCCGGGGAACGAAAGACAACTAAAGAAGACCTCGGATCGCAGCCCAATATCTTCCCGACCCATTCGGTCATTGGGCCTCAAGGCACACACATTCAGATCGTGCAAGCCCAGCCATATGATCTCCCTCCGCCCCGGACAGTTGACCCGTCAACTCCGTCAACGAAAACGCGCACAAAGAAGAAGAAGGGGCAGAAGGAAGAAAGACAAGCGAGCTCGAAGAAGGGAACCCCGCTCCGTCACAACCCCCTGAAGCCTCTTCAAATCTGGTCTCCGATCAAGGAGAAGAAGTGCAAAAGTAGAGAACGACGTGTGTCCCTAACTCTTGATCAGATCAAGGAGTGGACGGATTTGGCTAGCAATGCGCCGACGAGCAGAACGGAACGGGAATCCACCCCTTCTCTGGCGAACAGGGGAGATGAGTCTGCTAGCGAGACCGGAGCTGCCCTCAGGCCATCCTGATTCCTCCGCCGACCGAGCCTTTCTTCCCTTTTCGTTTCTCTGCCTTTTCTTTCTTGTTCTTTTATATGTCGATTATGCATAATTTCTGTTTCAAAATTTTCTCATGGAACGTGGGAGGGGCTGGTAGCGCAGGCTTTGCTCGTTCTCTTAAGCTTGCGCTCCAGCTCCATAGACCTGATATTGTCATTTTGGTTGAACCCCAGGTCAGCGGCGATGTTGCGAACCGTGTCTGCGACAAGTTTGGCTACCCGAATGTGTTCCGCGTTGAGGCTTCTGGTCGTAGCGGTGGCATCTGGATTTTCTGGAACGCGCAAAAATACTCAGCCCGAGTTGCCTCTGCTGGGTCACAACATATCACCCTCGACATCTCTACAACAAGCATGCCCGACTGGAAGTTAACTGCTGTCTATGCCTCTCCACGGCAGCAGCCTCAAAAGCTCCTTTGGAACAGCCTGTTGGCCCAGAGCAGAGACATCCGCTGCCCGTGGATTCTCACCGGTGACTTCAACGCAATCCTATCTCCGACAGAAACGACGGGACAGACTTCTACTCGCACTCTCAGGCGCTGTAAGCAGTTTGGGGATTGGATCAACGAAGCTGAATTGATCGATCTTGGCTTCTCCGGAGCCAAGTTCACCTGGACTAGGGGCAACCAGCCTCAGAATCTCAAAGCCAGCCGGCTTGACAGAAGCCTTTGCAATTTGGAGTTCAATGATAAATTCCCCCACACTTCGGTTGTCCACCTCGCTAGGTTAAGCTCTGATCACAGCCCAATCCTCACGACTGTGATGAACCAGGGAGTTTCTAACTCTTCCCCTAGGCGTTTTAAATTTGAAGCAGCCTGGATGACGCATTCGAATTTTCAACAGTTCATAACTGAAAAATGGAATGGTGAGACTGATTTCACTTCTGCCTTGCAGGACCTTTCAAAGCAGCTCCAGACATGGAATTTAGATGTCTTTGGCAGTGTGTTCCAAAGGAAGAAGAGATTGGCTGCTCGGCTTGCGGGGATTGAGAAGGGGCTGGCTATGTCCTTTTCTCCAGCACTAGCCAAGCTTCACTCGAAGCTAGAAGCGGAGCTGGAGAGAACGATGGAGCAAGAGGAACTCTTTTGGTTCCAACGGTCTCGAGAGAAGTGGGTCAAGTTCGGAGAAAGGAATACTGCTTACTTTCATCAAATGGCCAATATCAGACGGAGAGCAAACAAAATTGAGTGTTTGCGCGGGGTGGATGGAGCTTGGGTGAAAGATAAGCAGGAGTTAGCAACTCTCATTTTCAACTATTACTCTGACCTCTATTTGCAGGATGGGCAGCAATATGAGGACTTGATGCCCAAAGGGGCTTTCCCGCGCCTGAGTCAGGAAGAGTGGCTTCGTTTGCTCCATCCGTTCTCGATCATGGATATCCACAAAGCTGTCTTTGATATGAAGCCCCTGCAGGCCCCCGGGCCAGATGGCTTTCAGGCAGCTTTCTATCAGCAGTCCTGGAAAGTGGTGGGGAGGGCCCTAACGGAAATGGCGCTGGCCTTTCTTGAAGGAGGGCCTCTTCCGGAGGCGGTGTCTGAGTCCACTGTGGTTCTTATTCCAAAAGTTGAGAAGCCTGAATTAGTTTCTCAACTGAGGCCTATTTCCTTGAATAATGTGAGCCTGAAAGCTATTACCAAGGCTATGACAAGTAGGTTGAAAGCAGTTATGAAGACCCTGGTTTCCCCTCGCCAGAGCAGCTTTATTCCTGGGCGCCAAACTGCAGACAACATCCTTGTGGTGCAGGAAGTTCTCCATTCTCTTCGGAAGAAGAAGGGCAGAAAGGGTGGTCTTGTGCTGAAGATAGATCTAGAGAAGGCCTACGACAGGCTGCGTTGGGACTTTTTGCGGGATACCTTAGTTGAAGTGGGACTGCCGAGCTCGTGGATTCGTTGCATCATGTACTGTGTCGAGCAGAACCGGATGCGCATTCTCTGGGACGGCCAACTCCTGCAACCCATCACCCCCACCCGGGGGGTTCGCCAGGGAGACCCTCTCTCACCCTATCTTTTTGTTCTGTGCATGGAGCGTCTATCTCATAGAATTGATCGGGCTGTTAGGGAGAAGCTATGGAAGCCCGTTCGCATTTCTCAGAATGGTCCCGCTCTCACCCATCTCTTTTTTGCAGATGACTTGGTCCTTTTCGCTGAGGCCTCGGGATCTCAGATAAGGGCGATTAGGACTTGCTTGGATGAATTCTGTGACAGTTCGGGACAGAGAGTCAATTATGCTAAATCCATCATGTATGTGTCCCCGAATATCTGCACAGCTAGGGCGCAAAGACTGAGCGACAGGGCAGCCATTCCTCTGGCTAAGGAGCTTGGGAAATATTTAGGCATTCGGACCATTCATGGGAGGGTGACCAAGAGCCGGTATCAGGATCTGGTCCTGAAGATTCAGAAGAAACTTGCCCCCTGGAAGGCAAAGCGTCTATCCTTTGCAGCGAGACTCACGGTGACTCGTTCTATATCCCTCTCCATTCCCACCTATACTATGCAAACAGAATTAATTCCTATGGATGTTTGCAATTCTATTGACAGGATTAACAGGGATTTTGTTTGGGGCAAGGACGGTGATCAAGGGAAAATGCACTTGGTGGCCTGGGACAAGCTAGCGGAGCCCAAGGCTCAGGGGGGCGGTGGCCTCAGATCTCTCCGCCAAGCGAACCTTTCTCTGCTAGCAAAAGGTGGTTGGAGGCTTTTGCAGGAGAAGGATACTCTCTGGACTCAGCTTATGCGGGCAAAGTACGGCAAGCAGACGGAAGGGCTTGAGATGCTTCGCCCAGTTCAGGGAAGTTCCTTTGCTTGGAGAAGCTTTCATAAGGCTTCTGACCTTCTTAGGAAGGGTTGTGCGTGGAATATCCATAATGGCCGGCGGACTAAGTTTTGGCTTGATTCTTGGATTTTGCAGGGTCCTCTCTCAGAAGTAGTGCTCCAACCAATTTCTGACGAGATGTGCTCGGAGACGGTTGCTGATTACATTGACATAGACGGGAACTGGGATATCAGCCGTTTATCTCCTTGGCTGTCAACCGAAATTCTTCAGAAGATTACAGCTGCAAGGGTAGATGTGTTGTCCTCTATTGATGACACCATCTTCTGGACTGAGACCGCTAATGGCCATTTCTCTACGAAGTCAGCTTACCAGCTGCTCCAGTCCAGACCGACGGACCAGGATGAGGGGCTGTGGAAGAAAATTTGGAAACTTGCTGTGCCGGAGCGAGTCACCTGTTTTGCTTGGCTTGCTGCTCGAGGAAGGATCGT